ATTCGGACATGCACCTTCACTGCGGAACGCCAGATAAAGAGATTCGAGGTCAGAAAGAGGTAACGAACGCAGGAAACGTACCAGACAGCATCGGAGTCTCTCGGCCACAAGATGATCTCCGACCACTCGAACGAACGTCTGGTAATTTTCCGCTTTCAGTTTCAACAGTCGATGCACCAATTTCCTTCTTTTGAAATATGAGGAAAGCATAAACGTCGTGGTCGACCGGCCAATGAAATTGTCATCAGTGCATAAACACGTTCGTTCCTACGCCTAGAGAAAATGAGCAGCGCCCCACTGGTACAGGTACCGGCACAGGCCACAATCGACACTGAGACACAAGGTCTGCATCCAGCTGCTGCTGCGATCGTTGCTGTCGTCAACGTCACACCGGCAACGCGACACCTCGTAACTCCGGCTAATCCTTAGCACTTGGCGGTCGTCGCATGCGCAGTTGTCCGCTCTTCAAATTTCCTCCAACACAACCGTCATTAACGCAAACCGCCCGAAAACCGCGGAAACGTCTATCTTTGTACGGTAATTATAAATAAAGGGACCGTGATTAGCAGGTAAAACTACATACGTATGACAATAATACTAATTCGTTATTGTGACTAGGTTGAATGAAAGCTAGGTTTATCAGATTTTCAAGCGCAAATCTTCGCAGGCACAATTTCGGATATTGCTATTTAATATAAAACACAAAAATAAAAGATGATAAAAATCTGATAAATGCATCTTTTAAACGCTCTCGGTTACTACTAAAATGTGCCATATGTTAACGTCTAATTATTTCAATTTATCAAGGTCTGAGCAACAACAGAGTTTTGATTAAAGTTTAAACAAACGCATATATTTTGTGTAAATTTTACACTATTGATAGCAATGCGCGTTACATAACCAAGTAATCTGTGACTGATTGAGTTTTGTACTCATCTCGTCATAGAATCTTCAGCAACGTTTTACAGCGATAGTACCCTATCTCTGAGGCAGCCAAATGATAGAAAGATACCGTTGAATTTTTAATAATGCGCAGAAATATTTTATTTTTTCTGAATATATTCAAATTGTGAATAAGTGCATGGAATGTATTTGTCAGTAGTAATGTGTTATCCTCCGTCAAGAGGGATTACAAATCAATGTGAAAGTTTAGACAGCGACAATACAGGATGTATCTTACGTTGTCAGTGAAATGCATCACTGTATAAAACAGTATTTTGTTTAAATAAGCAATTGACTTTTCAAACAAAATATCGAGGCGTGTAACATCAGTCTCTCACTTCGCGCTGATTAAGGACATAGAGGCGGCCACAACTTAGTATTTCAACACCTCCAGCGCTAGCGCCTCTTGCATCATTTTGGTGGCTAGAACAATTCCTTGTTAATGACCAACGATGTTTCATACATCGTTATATATATTTTCGAATGCCTTTATAAACATAGATTCATAAGCCAAAGTATAATAATAAGCGCGTAAGTGTTGCGCAACCTGATTATACCACCTCTTACGCATAGACAACAGTGAAAGTTAAAAATGGCATCTCCTCAAATCGCCATCTTTCGTTCAGTCGTTAATAAAGTCATACATGTGAATTGGCTTCAAAAATAAAATGATCGCAATTTAATAATCTTCGTTATTATAGACTTCGGTTATTAAGTTTAGGGGCCGTGGCTAATTAATATCGAACTAGTAAATGATTGTTATGACTGCAAAATAGCATTGTCTGAATATCATTGAGACTCGCCTGTTTTGACTATCTTTCTGTAATAGGACACCTGAGAAATTCAGTTTTAATGCAAAACTTTGGATGAAATCAAAAGTTGAACATTTGTGTTTCTTCTTCCATAGTCCAAAAAAGCAGTATTCGTTACAGCGGTGCTACTAATCATTTGGAAGAATTGTTTCGTTTCTTCTTGATATCGATTACAGGTATATTTATTATGTCCGTGAGTATTATGTTCTGCTTGCGATTTGATTGGTCTTTGATTTTTCTTCATGATTTCGATAGAAAATATTAGCTTTTCTAGGTTTTGTAGTACAAAGGTAAAAACAAAATGCACTGAGCAAGCAAACGCTTGATATAATATACCTTTTATTATTTATTTTTCGGTTTTGTGATAGAAGCCGGAACGATAAATTGGCTACATATTACTGCACTCATACAGATGTTTGTTTCGCCTGTCTGACGAGTACTGAACGATGCAATAATTCTCTCACGCCATCCGCGGCTGAAAGTCCTTGCCATTTGCCATAACATGCAAATACAGTTATTAGAAAGTTATTAGTTTTAAGCAAACATTCCGAAAATCAGCTATCTCGTTTTTGGTGCGGTGCATGAACGATCTTAATATTACAGGTA